TTGAGGTGTGCTCTGCTCTTGACTCGTACCTCAGCTCTCTTCAGTCCACTCCAACCTGCCAAACTGCTCCCTTTGTTTCTTCCTCCTCCCTGGCTCTGACTAGACCATCACATCCAGACCACTTACCCTCCCAACCATGCGCCGCCTTAGGACCTGCGCCCCCCCAGCCCCCAGGTTGTAGCCGCGCACAGTGAAAAACCAGGGGCAAGGGCTCCCTATTGGTTGAACTGCAGATTGTAGCTGCACCAAAAACGCACCTGTGCTAGCAGAGCTTCTCTTTGTCAATGAAACACGTCCCAGGGGTTAACATATGTAGGGTTCAATTTTTTTCTGAATCAAAATACTGTATGTGCTGATAAATAACTGCAAACCGTGGCCCTAAAAGACCATGAGAGGGAGGATGCCAGGACAGGACGTAGTGCCAGGCTGTCAAGGCACAAGCCGAAGCTGGGAGTGCTGTAGTTGGAACAGAAGTGGATCCTGAAACATTCGACTGAGCAGCTCATCAGTTCACCTCTCTTTCACTCCAGGCTAAGACTCCCATTAAAAGACACGGTCCTGTTTGTTATACTGGCACAGACCAGTGCTGCAGGAACAGGCTCTTGGTGCATAATCTCTTTAGGGCAGGGCCATGTCATGTGCATGCCAGACATGGCAGGTGGGGCACAGGACCTACCGAATCCTTCCTGTGGAGCACGAACTGCCTGGCCCCCAGCACCCGGGGAGAAAGTGAGGCACGACATATGCACTCCAGCTCTCCTCTGCTTTTAGTGCCTCTTGGGGCCACGTCTATTGGAGTGAGCTGATGCAGGCAGTTATACCGGAGGCTGGCCCTGAAACAAAGCTTGAAACAGTCTCTCCCTCCCCGTGCCCACCCGCAACACACAAACCACATAGCTGAAGATTAAGCCCAGGAAAACACTCTCACCCCTGGCCCAACTTCCTCTTCAGGCTGCGGCGAGAGTGCAAGCAGATCAGTGACAATTTGGCTGGAATGAGTGACTGGCGTTGGCCTGGATCACACTTTCCTTGCAGATCTGGAGGCAGGGTTAATGCCCGACCGAGCCCGTGCCAATGGCCCCACGAGAATGACTCCTGTGAAGACTTAGAGGACCCAAGGACGCATGTCGTGTGCCACAACAGTTTGTTGCAACAGATTTGCTGGCAGTAAGTGTTAGTTAGTGGTTGCCCCATTAGTTTCAGGGCAGGAACCCTGGGAGGGAAATTTTATACTTCATATTATGCCAAGAGGTGATTTGGTTTAGTATTAGGGGGTCGGGAGATTTGAGCTTTCCTGTTCATTTATACCGATGGGCAGGGCATTTGTTAGCACCTCCAGGCATTATACCCACTCACGCTTCTGCAGCCCCTGGGCCAGTGTTATATTTGCTTGCCTCCACAAACTGGTTGTTGCACTTTTCCCCCTGTAATCCTCCTCTTTTTTTTTTGATTTTGCCAAAGCTGCTTAAAGTGACATTTCAACATGGTGCGATTCATGCAACAAAAGAAAACGGTGGGTGAGGAAAGTCGAAATGGCCGGATGGATAGTAGTGCTGTACATAACCGATGCTGAATTTTTACCTGAAGTAATTCAAGGTGCCCTCGTAAATAATGGAACAATATGCTGACGTGTCCAATGCATTTCTTAAGTTAGTGTTTGTAAAATGAACTCCATCTTGTCAGTTGTATACATTTGTTATGTCACTGGTAAGAAAATGATGGTACTAAATGTCATTCAAACCAATAAATTATTATGTCAAATCAATGGAACAAGCGTGCTGCTAAGTCTGTGGCACAAACCATGTGACATGAAGGATGCAGGTCAAGTGAGACCTGTCCACTGCCCGCCTAGCGTTGCTAACACACCCAGCGTTTGCAGAATTAAAGGAAACTATTTCTGTGCTGCCTCCTACAGCGTTCATAACTGACTTCATTTGGGCAAAACTAGTGTTTGCTTACGAAACCTGCCCCCGCTCCTCGACCCAGTCTCAAAGCAGGATGAGCTGCTAAATTTGCTAGCTAGGCAGCAGTGTGAGGCTGAAAACCCTGTCCTTTAGATAACAAGTACATGGGGAGATGCATCCCCACAATCTCAGGCCTTGTGTCAGTTTTCTTCCACTGTGAACGCTGTTTCCAGCTGGTGCTGGGCATCATGTTGGCACCTGTTCCCCACACGGCTATGCCAATAGGAGCCAAAGTGCTAAGCTGGCCAGATGCAGTGTGGGTAGTTAATTGCCTGCCTTCTAGCTAGGTAGATGTGGCAGTGCCCTGCGCTTCCCATTGCCCAGAGCTGGCACTGTGGAGTGAAGCAGCTTGAAAAGGCCTTGGGATAAAAGGTGCAATATGAATGTAAGATATTTTTTTAATTAAAAAACCCCCGAGGCTTAGAACGTATTGAGCTCTCTAACAGAGAGCATCCCGGTGCCAGGATGTGCTTGAACATACAACACGTGGTCCCTGCTGCATACTGGCTTGCTAGCTGTCGAGCCAGGCCCAAGTGCTATCATCACCCAGAGAAGCGCTAATGAATGAGTCCCCCATGGTGTTAGGCTATTCTGCAGTCAATCAGCTTCACATTCACATAGCAAAATCTAGCTCTACTTTAGATGATCCTGATTTCTCCCAAGGAAAACTGTGCTGGGCCAAGCTGACCCTCCCAACCTTACTCCAAGAGCTGTTCTCTATGGCATCTTGCCCCCTCACCAGTGCAAGGCCAAAGAGCCCTCATAACCAAGCTGCTTTATTCCTGGGTAGATCTAGGTGGCAGGTGAGATTGGGGTGTGATGATTACTACCCTTCTGTGACTTGCTGTTCAATACAGTTTTCCTCCCTTCTGTGAACTACTCAAGCCAAGATGGGTCACGTGCTTCGGTGAAAGAGTGGAGAGTGCACTATGCCGTCTGCAGGCTCATTGCTCACTGGGTGCCTGGTGGCTGCAAAGTGTCGCATGTTAACATGTATCAAGACTTCCTGGGCATGAAGATGAGCCCACTTGCTGTGGGCTCAGGTGGGGAGGAGTGTCAGCCCCACTGTTATTGCTGGGTCTCAACCAGCTCTGGGATTGCCAGCAGTGTTTATTAGCATAGACCCTTAATCACCGTCACAAGCAAGTGATGACGATGAAGGGGCTATGCTAATAGAGCCCTCAAGAGCCAGCATCCCAGAATGCATTGAGCTCCTCTGCTCCCTTTTGCCGTACTAATGATGACCCTGTGCTCTGATCTCAAAAAGGCTAATAAGTTCCTACCCCAAAAATGTAGGCAATCAGGAGATGCTGAGAGTCACCCCACAGTTGGGAAGGCCAGCGCTTTTGCTGAAGCTGATGTAGAGTGAATCCCAGGCCTAGTCGCATTGCTGTCCTGCAACTCGTGCTGTATCCTCTGCAGCCCTGGTATGGACTGGGCTTCTCAGAGAGTGAAGGTCTGGCCCTAGGCACCAGGCATCTTGGGCTATCCTCATCCAGAAAAGCCCCAAGGATAGCACACTCCCGTTCACCTGCACGGCTGCTTCTGTTTCCATCTGCCTAGAAAGATGGTCCCTAGGCGAGCAGAGCTCTGTGGTGCTGACAGACGAGGGGGAGGTGATGTAAGCTGCCCAAAGCAAATTAACAGGTCAGGGGTTTGCTGAGGGCAAAGCTGGCCTCAAGCCCCATCAGCGGGAGGGTGTCATGGCAAGGGGCTCCATCCCTGTGGCTGGACCTGGCCCTGGGGAAGGGGTGACTTCAATTCAAGTAGCGCTCAGGGTAGTCCTGCCTTGCTCACCCCCAACTCATACCCTGGCTTGGCGTGTGGTCTCTTCTCCATCGCCACGATGGCAGTTTGCTTATGTATCATATCATTATATAGAGTTGCTATTTATTTGTAATGTGCGTTGTTTCTAATCATGCCTCTTTCTCTGCTTGTCCCCAAGAACTCCCTCTCACTTTTAATACGGAGCACGTATAGGCTTTCCCCCTGCCATCACATATGTCTAGCAAAGAGCTGACGCCAGCTGGCATCTGATGCACCTGCGGCTAATGCACACCTCCCATTCACTCAAGTGAAACCGCAGCGCTTCATGATGAGGGCAGTGAAAGGCACACGCACCGCAGTGACTAAACACTGAGGCACTGGCACTAGCCACCTGGCATTTTGCTTTTCACTTTACAAAATAAGCCAGTGGTATCTGCTGAGAGGAGCCATGGGCCAACCATGGGCCACTTCTGTGCACACCACTATTAACACGGGCGATCATGTCAGTGAGGAAAGGGGTCAAGGCTGAGGTCTGGTGACCTGGCAGGTGCTGGTAACCATCACGGAGCTGGAGCCTCACTATTGCCTTTAGCCATGAGGCCTCATTTCTCCTGCCGCAGCCCAAGGCTGCCTGGGACACCGGTGCTCGGCAGGGTCCAGGTGCAGCACTTGAAGGGCTTGGCCACGGCTGTATCGCCAGCACCAAGCTGCAACCTCTGGGTGTGACGTGGTTGCTCCACGTGAGGGTGGTGCCTTGCGCCGTGTCCCAAAGCACTGCCTAAGGTCCTCAGCTCAGGTCCCCAGAGGCTCCTGTGCTAGATGTTGCGTGGGGAGGCGAGGCGCAGAGAGAGCGCGAGAAAGAGCCACATGCCTTGCTCTGAAGAGACTGCAACAGTAGCATATTTGGGGTTGGAGGTGACCAGGGCAGCAACCTTTGCTGGGCAGGGGAGAAGCAGCTGCTGCTGCAGCCGGCCTGGCAGGAGCTGGTGCTGCCCCGTGCATTGCAGCCGCCCCCAGCAGGACCTGCCCTGCTGCGCCTCTGGGGTGTCGTGAGCACCACAGCACAGATGACACAGCAGTGGGGTGCTTGAAGGCCCAGCCCAAGGCAGCGATCAGAAACCCAGGCAGCCATCCTGCCGCCTGCCCCAGTGCACTGCCCTGG